TTTATTGATTGACAGCTCTCCTGTCCCCATGTTGAGAGAAATCAGAAGATGTTACTGTAGTTCAAAATAAATATGAATATGCATTAATTCATCTCACTCACACACAAAAAAAACACAGATTCAGTATTATGAATTATGAATTATTAAATGAATAAAAATAATGCAACTCGTAAATTTACTTTCCCTTCAGCCTGAGGCTTATTCATTTCACTTTTGGTGTGAAAAGGCTTTTATATTTGCCAAAAATATAACTTTTTTATTTTCAAATCAAACAAGCAAGCCCTGTCCAGATTTTAAAAGTAATGCAAAAGTAACGTAATGCATTACTTTCCATAAAAAGTAACTAAGTAATGCAATTAGTTACTTTTTTATGGAGTAACGCAATATTGTAATGCATTACTTTTAAAAGTAACTTTCCCCAACACTGTATATATATAAACGTACACACAACAATAATTCAAAACAAACATTAAGAAATAAAGAAATATAATAATAAATATATAAAGAAATAAATCAGTTTATTTTGATTATATACAATCAAAAGCTGATTTACAATTATGAAAAATTATAATATAATAATGGAAAATACATAAAACTAATTATTATTATTATTATGTTGTTGTTGTTATACACACACAGTAATAACTAGAATAATTAAATAATAATTAATAATTATAATAACTTAATTGTAAATTTGTTTCTGTCTGATTTATATCATTGGTGGTTTAACAGTATTAATAAAAGTGTATTTCTTATGTACGGCATTTATGCCTTTTGTGACTTTAGAATTCATAAGGACACATGTAATATTAGAGCTAAAGAAAAAGAAAAGCTAAATAAAGGTAAAAAACAACAACAACACAAGGACTGAATAAATACCCATGAGTTAAAGATGCTACGAATAAAGAGAAATCTGGGGAACACTTATCATGTTCAATAATAATAAGTGTTATATATTTTAGTCACCGTACAGAGAAATCAATCACTAACGCAAATAATAAATGTTTGGGGTTAGAAAAAGTGTAGTAACCTCCATTGGGAGTGTTTTTTTTTTTTTCCTGGCCGAGGGAGATACTCATCTCATATGACAGGCTAAGCAGGGAAATTAGACTTTGCGTTTGAATTATTGATTCTCTTTAGCACATGCTCGACCAACGCCAGCTCTCCAACTACCTTTGCAACACCACAAAAGAGGTTTACTACACAAGCAGCATTACAAAGAGAAAGTGCACATTGTGTTAAATAAAACACTATAGTCTTCTGATTTGGGGCATAATTCACTGCAACAGGGTCAAAATGAACTATTGTATGTTTTAAGAATTACAAAATGCACTTTACTTCACATGTTTGACAGGTACTTTCACATGCACTACTTAGGGCCTATAAGTAGTAATCTAATACTTAATTTACTATTCTAGAATGTCAATGTGACATTAATGGACACTTATTTAATGGACACATCTTTCAGCCACTCACAGATATTTACCGCCACCTGCTGGTCACATAACCGACCATGTGTTTCTGCAGGTTTTATGAAGGTCAATTTAAGAAGACCTTTTGAGACCTTTTTAAATTTAAATGTCTTGTATTAGCAACACTTCAAAGTTTCAAATAGAATTCCAACACATCTCCATTACTCCATTCATTCATATATATATATATATATATATATATAAAAAAAAGCTTATGGCTTGAATACCTCTGCTCCCAACAACTATAAATATGGAAATAACTTATTACACATTCTGATCACTCTGCAGAAAAAGTGTTTTTCATCAGTATTTTAGTCTTGCTTTCCAGTGCAAATGTCTAAAGAGAATATCAAGTCTTGTTTTGTGATAGATTTATTTTGGTCAATATGATGAGAGTTTATGATTAAAACAATTGTATTCCTCAATTGTATGTCGCTTTGGATAAAAGCATCTAAATGAATAAATGCAAATGCAAAGAATAAATATTCAATAGACTAATCAATCTTATTCAAGGGGAAGCAAGTTTGCATACCCCACTGATTTGTTCTTGTTTTAATCATAAACTCACTTAATTTTGTTCAATTTCTCAGTAAACAAATTGCAGTTCAAATTGCATCTCAAGTAAATGTAGCTTAATTTAATGATGTTTAGATATTTGTATTGAAAAACAGAACAAAAATACAGAGGATGATACTTGTTATTTATTTTTGCAGTGCATAGAATATTTAATGCCATGACTTAATGAATTTAAGACTTTTTTTAAGACCCACAGCAACCACGGTTGCAGCAAATTTATTAAAGATAAATTGAACATATATAATTAACGTTTTACTCTGAAAGGTCTTTATAAATAAAAACACCTAAAATGGACAAATTTAAAAACAAAGTAAATTTCAAAAACACTTCATTTTACTCCTGTTTATTTTTTTTGTCCTTCCAAACATGTAAACAAGACTGTGACCTGGAAACAATCATACATAAAGACACTGTGTGATCTGACAAATAAAAAACAAACATTGATAAACGGTTTATGAAAAACATTCTTTGAATGCTAGAATTAGAAATGCTGGAATGCTGGACAATATCAATATATACTCTTAAATATATATATATATATATATATACTTCTATATAGATAGACTTTATACTTAGATTCTTTAAGAGTTCTCATTAAGGATTCTTTTTTTCTGACAGTTCCTGCATTTGGATCTCGAGAGATTTAAATAAAGGCAGTTTGCTCCCGTTTACGCTCCCTGATAAAGACAATTACTGCAAAGGAGATTATTCGGCCCCTTTCGGAAACAGACTGTGCCTGACATACCACATAAATACTTTGAGTTCAAGTCTATATTTCAAAATCCTGGCTTTAAAGAGCATCATTGGCAAATGTAACCGCTACAGTGCATCCTTCTTGTTGAACTTTAACGAATAACCAATCGCAGTCTCTAAACATTCCACTAAAGATCCGGCGGAGAGAAAGTCCAGCTCCACCTCGATGAACTTAATGTAGATGTGTAATCCAGAGAGGACGCCCTCCTTGGCCTGGCCGGTGCAGTTGTCCTGCAGGAACCTGGTTACGGCCGAAGGCTCCCCTCGGCTGTAGTGTTTGCCTGAAGTCTGAAAGTGCTGGAACAGACACTGCTGTAGCGTCCTTTCCTCTGCAATGCCGAGGTAACAGTAAGTGACTTTGGATGATGTCCTCTTGTCCTTCTCCACGCTCTCGCAATGGTCCGTCTCCTCCTCTTCCTGTGAGGGGGAGGACTTGTCATCTGTACTAGACGAAGTATTGGACCTGCTCGTCTCCTCGTAGCCTATTGCATACAGGCCATATGTTTTTGGGATGCCCCCTGGCAGGAGGTACTGGGTGCCATTGCTGCACCCTGCCGCTCTCGTCTGTGCGATCGGGATCCAGTCCACTTCCATGTGCAGCTCCAAACAGCGAGCTTCACTAATAGTGATGTCTAGGAATTTATAATACACGTTTTTCCAGTTCATTTTCTGCACCTTGGTCATGATAACCCTGCCCTCGGCCTTCTCAGGGTTGAAGTATTCCCGCAGTCGTTTTCCCAGAGGGACCTGTGAGCTGATTTCTGCATAGTGGTAGCGAATCTCCTCTCTCCAGCGTGTGTTGTAGCCCACTCCGAAGATGGCCAGCTTATTGGACAGGTGGAGGCGGGAGAAGTCAGTCCATGTCTGGAAGTGCTCCCATTTGACCTCCACTGACTCCAGGATACGCATCACGTTCTCCATCACTTCCTGGCGTCTAAAGAAAGCACGAGGAGAGAAGGAAGTGAGTGGAAATTCTGTAATTAAAAGGACTGGGAAACAGGACACCGGTTCAAACTTACTGAGTGTGCTCAGATGGCTCCAGTCGTATCTGAAGAACTCTGGTTTTTGGAAGTTGGTTGTCTTCTGTGAAAGACAAGATTGCATTATTTGAGATTTTAGAAAATATGCACATGGCATTAGACTTCGAGTTGGGTCTGAAATGTGCAGAATTTTCATAGATTGTGGATGATAACTAGGCCCACACTGAATATGAATATAACAAATTTTAGCAGAAGATTGGAAATCTGTAGAATTCTGCCAATTATTAAAATACAATTATTCATAGCAAAAAAACTTAAAACAAAAGTTAAAAAAAAACATATTATACATATGCATAAATACATATATAATATTGATAAATACATACTATTGATTTAGGGTTGTACGTTTTTTTAATGTTTTTGAAAGTCTCCTATGCTGCATTTATTTGATAAAAAATACAGTAATATTGTGAAATATTATTATAATCATAACTGTTGATATTATTTTTTTTCCAAAGTAATTTATTTCTGCAATGACAAAGCTGAATTTTCATCTTCCATTACTTCAGTCTTCAGTGTAACATGATCCTTCAGAAATTATTCTAATATGCTGATTTGATGCTCAAGAAAAAAAAAATTTGAAAATAATTGTTTTATAACACCGTAAAATACTTTACTGTCATTTTGATCAATTTAATGTGTCTTTGCTGAATAAAAGTATTAAAAAAAATTAACCTCCTGAACAGTAGTGTAAAAGTTAAAAATATGTAACTAAATTATCTCTAAACTGTGGACTGGTGAGGTATGAACCTAAAATCTTTCAGATGCTTGCCAAAATGTTGCACCACTAGTGTACAACTCTCCTTTTTTAAAGAGGAGGAGGATACTACAATTATGACTTTAAACTGCACTGCAAAGAGATTATTGCATTCACCTGTTTCTATGTCTCCCTCATTGAAGGCAGCAGAAAGGTCCTGATTACACCAGTCTTCCTGAGAGTAGTCCTCCATCGTACTGCCGTCTGACTCCATCTCCTGGTAGAGCCCGCTGCTGTTGATCAGCACAGGCTGACAGCTTTGAGAATCCCAGCCGCCCTGCCCGAACACCTTCTCCAGCTGCTCGATGGAGTAACTGCTCTTCCTCTTCCCAATGCCGTGCTCTGGGGAAGGAACCTCGGTTTTGGGAATCTTCAGCGGCACTGATAGATCAGGAGAACGTTCGGCGTTACTGGGGGCCGCCATCTTGCCTCTGTTGCTAAGGGGAGGGGGCAGAGAGGAGGCGTGCGCACGCGCTCACTCCAAGCACGATTGACAGCTTCATAATATCGAGTTATCATTTTTGCAGCCAATGTCTATTAATATTATGCTACGTATTATAAATAATTATGTTATAAATAAACATATTACATACAAAATAATATATTATAGATAATTATTATTTAAAATGCAATGTTACCGTTTTGAATCATTATAATAGTATATTTAAATATAATAATAATGAAGTGCAATTGACAGCTTCATATTGACAGTTATCACTTTTAAAAAGTCTCTCTTATATTAATATTAGGCAAAATATTATAATTAATCATTTTATAAGCAATTATATTATATTACAATATTATATTTAAAATATTATAATAATTATTATGCAAAATAGTGCGTATACAAAATATTCCCACACTTGGACGCTTCACCGTTTGTATCACTCCGCTTAACCAAGTTCAAGCAGGTGCGGAGTGATAGACGATTTGCCTGGTGCAAAAAGCAGGTTTTAGTTGAAGTTGAAGCGTCGGAATTTCCTTCTGAAAACAGAAGCAATGCTGTGTGAATTTACCTTTTTTTATGTTTTTGAAGTTAAGACCTGTGTTTGTGAGTCGTTTCTCTCTCACTCATTAGCGGGAAATGGAAAACCTGGAGTGGATCTGGTGTCGAGGGATTCCGGAACGCTCCGTTTCCAAAAGGTTTCAGACAGGCTTTCAATCTGTGCCTTGCATGGCGGCCTACAGAACTGTAAGTTTACCAATATATACAAACTGCTTGTTTGTACAACCGCATATAAGCAATATCACAAGAACAAGAGTACTGTTCTAAAAGTCAACAAGGATGTCGTGTAAAAATGAGATATTATGTAAATAAAGAAATATAGGCTAGTTAGGCTATATAGGAACTAGGTAGTTCAGAATTACCATTTAATCAGTGTTACACTCCTGTTCTTATATGTATTTTGTACAAATGATAATTCTATATGTAAACATTATCGAATATGACTATTATTAATATGAGTATTTTATTAAAATATTTAAATTAATGATCCTTTTTTGAGATGGGTATTTTCCTCTGCAATACATGTGTATTTTCCACTACTCTACAAAGGAAAGTACCACTGCTGACCACTAGGCGGGGTTGCTCATCCTCGTTACATTCTGCTTTGTGTCTGATAGTTTGTTATTGTGGCAACAGACATGGTTGGCACATTTTACTTGCATGTGTTCTATCCCCAAGAAATAGGCCTACAACTAAATGGTTAATCATTGTCAAATTTGCATTCTGTCTGTGTTTCTCTAAAAATAATGCATATAATCATGCCCTTTTCTGGCTCTGTTATTTTATAGACATAATTTCTTAAATGCTTTGCATAAAATAACTGCTTTAGATGTTCCATTTTTCTTCTTTATTTTTTTCAGCATAATACCGATTGTCAGAGATGTAACCAGTTTTTGTTATTTAGTCAGCTGTCTGGCTGCCAAAAATGTGCATTGAAGAAGAATTTTGTTACAATCATTGCAACCCAGATATCTGCATGATATCATGTTTGTTTGAACCATGCTTCTTTAGTAATGTTGATTATTTAACAAAGCTGTCGAATTAATTATTTGTGTTGAAAAAAAAAATCTTGTCATTCTATAGGGAATCCAGCTTAAAGGCACAATATGTAATTTTCGCCGCTAGAGGGTGCGTATTCAAAATAAACAAATAGACAAAGGCCTAGTTTGATGACGGCACAACATATTAAAGCATCTTTGGTGTTTCCATGTTTTCTACAAAACAAAACCGGAAATCGAGGGGTTGTGACGTCATTGGCAGGCGACACAATGACACTATGGACACACTCCGTGTCACTAGTTAAAATTGCTTATTTCTCTGGATTTAAACATTCTTCGAAACATTTGGGATAATGTAAGTACACAAGTCAGCAAAATATATAACACTGTTCTAGTGGTTTTTGGATATTTTAATAAAAAAATCTTACATATTGTGCCTTTAACTGAGCTGCAGCTTCACAGCTGTTCACATGATTTAACAGAGAGTCTATTTAAGGTCAAAGGTTATGGCCCGTCCTAAGAATAGTGAACCGTCCTCACACCATTTTCTGTCTATATCTGGGTGTTTTCTGACAACTTCATTGTGTTTGATGTCTGCTAAAGGTTAGATGTAGAGTCAGGAGACAGTATAACCTTTAAAAAAACCAAAGATGACAGGCACCTACGTAGTTTATAAAAGTAACTGTAGATTAATGCAAACACTTTCATGACCATATGGCAATGGATCCTGAATCCTAAACTGTAGCCGCACACATGCTGATAAACACATCAATTTGTTTTTCATATAACTTTTATAGTACAAAAATATAATAATAGCTCAAATTTGCTATTATGTTACAAATTAGGAGCAAACCCATACAGATGATTCAGTTGTGTATGAATTTAGCCTAAGGTGTTCTTTTCTCATCCAGATGCGTTATAAAGAATCCCTCAACCATGATGAATATGAATAATAAAGAGCCACAACCCCATATTGAAAAAAATTACTTTGTACTACAACACTGGACATTATATTTGTGAATGCAAATCTAAAATGGGAATCTCTTAGCGTATTATACCCCACAGGCATGCTTTGCCATACCTTCAGCTTAATGAGGGAATGGATATGTTTGCTCATGATCAGAAGCATGGCCTTCTGATTAGACTCGCTCTAGAGGCATTTCTAAACGCCTTGCCGACATTAAGGGGAACACTTCTTAGTCAGATCACATAGTAACTCGCGTCTTCGTGAAATCAAGCCAGCACTTTTTTTTTATCATCAGCGAAGTCACGAAAGCCCTTTAAATGGCCGAATGTGAGAGAAATTCTAATGACCCTCTGAAACATTATGGGGCGGTGAGAAAGTGAAGATAATTACGATTATTATTTCATAATTTAGCATTTTAGCGAAGATGCTGGAAGCATTTAAGTGAATTTGTGTCGGAGAGATTGCTTTTAGGATTGGCCGTCAAAATTCCTTTGCATTTTATAAAGCCCAAAGTGCTTATTTGCATGTCTAATGGGCAGAGATATTTCTGTTTATCAAAAATACACACATGCATTCACAGTCAATTAGAGCGAATTGTGATTTATTTTATTTTTTTTGCGCATTTTGGAGATAAGGATATATTGATAAACCCTAAAAACCCAGAGCTTTTACTTGACATGAAAGGAGTTGATTCTGGATTCTGGAACGAAATGGAGATCCGAACTACAAATTCTGCCCGTGATATACTGATGGACGCTTTGCTGTCTTTTTGGTATGAGTGAGTCGTCAATGATGGGAGCTTTTTACACCCATCTTCAAATTCTGTTTCATCTCACTCGATTGGCTTTAGATCAGATCATTATCACGGTGGTGTGAATGATCATTAGATTCACTCAGCGGCGCGGCTGATTGCAGCACCTGCAGACTCCGGTTCAGAGAAAAAGCACATTTTGGTTTGAAGGCTTTCATTATCAGGCAGCCTTCTCTCTTTTCTCACCTAAAGCATCATGAAATCACACTGAAATACTAAAATATGTGCTTTTTCCCCTTCCATACACTTTGTGTAATACATGACATAAAATGGAGCCAAATCGTGTTTGTACCTTGAGAAATTATTGATGATTTTTTTTATTCTTCAAACTATATTTGATTCTTGATTCTATGATTGATTTTTTTGAGTTTTTAGATTTAAGATTTAAAGGTGATTAATATTTCCTATATAGTATATACTGTATATAGCATACATGTAAAGCATGATGATTGGCTTGTTAAACACTTGCTAATTGAAATCATAAAGAAAGAGAAATGTGTAATTGGTCTGATTAAATTGATAGTGTTATAAAGAAATTAATAGATTTTTTTTCTTTGCAGGTACATGGAATCGCTATGGAGTCAAAAAGTGGGTAGGATTTTGATGCCATCTCCAAAAGAGACACTGACTGTTCTTGGGGTTAACGGGTTGGTGAGTTGTCATGTTCAAGTTAACATGTCTGAAAGAGATATTTCTTGGTTCATTGTATTGATGAGTTGACTCAAACCACTTGGAGTGATTCAGTCGTGAACTAATACGTTTCCCGTACAACTAACTCACTGCTTAATCACCATAACGTAATTTGTCGAGAACTAGCTAGTAACTAGCCTCCCGAAACTGTAGTAACTTTGTTGCACATCCGTCATTCGAACCATGTTGGTTCAGCAAAATAGAATTTCCATTATACAAAGTTCTGTCATGAAACTCTAGATGGCACAGGCTGATAGCAATCAAATCAATACCTTAAAGGGGTCATATGATGCTGCTAAAAATAACATTATGTTGTGTATTTGGTGTGATGAAATGTGTTTATGCGGTTTAAGGTTCAAAAAACACATTATTTTCCACATACTGTACATTATTGTTTCTCCTCTATGCCCCGCCTTTCTGAAACACGTCGATTTTTACAAAGCTCATCGGTCTGAAAAAGCGAGGTGTGCTCTGATTGGCCAGCTATCCAGTGCGTTGTGATTGGCCGAATTCCTCAAGCGTGTGACGGAAATGTTACGTCCCTTACCATATTGTGATGCCTGCGGCAACCACATGTGACGACCCCGGACTGGACTCCGCTTCGTCCAATGTGAAAGACGATCCGGCGATCGACAGCGCGACGTTGAAGTATTTCCTCAGCGACCAGCACGGATCAGCTCCAGGCATGACGAAGTGATATCGTCCTCTTTTGGAAGGCCAAACAAACTAGTTTCGCTTTCACAACAAAGCACACAGCGTCTTCACGACATGGCGGCAGCCTTAACTTTTATAAAGAATATCTCTTTGGATTTGAGACTTTAGTCTTTGCAACTTTACAGATCTTCTTTATGCACCAAGAGCTTGTAACACTCCAAAGAGAAAGGAAAAATTGAAATCGCATCATATGACCCCTTTAAAAAAACCTTAAAGCAATCATCTAGTGATCACATTG